TAAGAGAGCACAGCGTGTGTGCCTAGAGGCCAGCTGCCTGAGAAGTATGTGCTGTATGTCCAAGCGGGCTCAAGCTAGACAAGAGAGGATGTCACCTGTCTGTGGACAGCTGCTCGTGACCCATCATGAACTGCAGGTTGTCGATGACCACATGACAAATGTCATAGACGTAGACTGCATGTTGCATTGTATCTATTACAGTCCTGGGAAGAGGAAAGGCAAGGAATTTGACAAGTTGTCTCTAGACCACCCCAGGCAGAGGAACTAGCATCCTGAAAACTCTCTTGGCTGCCTCCTCTGCCCTTCTATTATTATTATTATTTGAGACAGGGTCTTGCTCTGTAGCCCAGGCTGAGTGCAGTGGTGTGATCACAGCTCACTGCAGCCCCAACCTACTAGGCTCAAGTGAGCCTCTTACTTTTTAGCCTCCTGAGTAGCTGGGACCACAGGCATATGCCACCACCATGCCCAGCCTAATTTTTAAAAATTTTTTTATAGAGAGGGGAGGTCTCCCTATATGGCCCAGGTTGGTCTCAAATTCCTGGGCTCAAGTGATCCTCCCAAAGTGCTGGGATTACAGGCATGAGCCACTGTGCCCAGCCCTGCCCTCATTCTTTGAAAAACTCCAAACCTAAGGAGATGGGGGAGTTCCTACTGGAGCTGGAAAAGGAACCAAAGGTTCCTGAGTGCTGGGATATGTCTGGGAAAGCAAGGTGGCTAGAGTCTGGGAGTCTCACCTGATGCTCTGCTGTCCATGGAAAGTCATGAAATAGAGGGGCAGGTCCTCAAAGCGGTCAGCCCAGTGATCGTATTTGTCCAGTTGATCTTCCAGCCGCCCCTCGGCAAACTGTGTAAGCATGACCCGGGCTAGTCTCACATTACTGATCTCGAAGCTACCCCACAGTGTGTTCACCCCCTGGGAACACAAATCCAGGGCATACTCACTGATGAATGTCGTCTTTCCACTGCCTGTTGGCCCTGCAGTGGGGTGGAACAGACCTGGGTGAGGGAGGAAGTCCTACCCTTGAAACCAAGACATAGGTCAGGGCTTTAAAATTGTGGGGAGGGGGCAAACCTTCTTTTCAACACTGTCATGGCCCAAACCCACTTGCTTTTGTCACCTGATCTTCTGCCCCTTTACTCTAAGTAGTGATTTCTCAAAGGGTTACCTGTGAAGACCGTCAGTTCACCCTTTCGATGTCCCTTCAAGATACGATTGAGGTCTGGGAAGCGGCTCCAGCGGAGGCCAGCTACTTGCTCCACATTTGACAGTTCTCCTAGCACCTCCTCCCGAAGCTGCCGGAAAGACACGATGGACTTGTGCCAGGCAGGCAGGGCGGTACGAAGAATACGAGAAAGATTGAAGCCTCTGTTCAGGGCCTCCAGGGGACGGGGCTGCTGGTCTCCTGGCCGCACCAAGAAGCATCGTTTGGGGTTCAGTTTTCGTGCAAACAACTTGGCCGCTTCCCAGGACCGAAGGTCATCCCCCAACCAGAATACGATCCGCCGGAACTGTTCCAGGTAAGGGAGTAAGGAAGGGGGTAAACAGGTCGTTCCTCGGGGTAGAGTAAGGGTAGGCAGCCCCGTGGACTGGTTCAAGGCCAGGCTGTCAAGCTCACGACTGGTCAGTACCACCTCAGCATCTCTACGACTAATCAGTGGTAATCCAAACAGATTGTGGTATGCACTGGGTCGGGGAATAGTGGTTTCCTCATAGCTCACTCCATCCCCCTGGCATTTAGCCTCTAGTAGCTTCAGACCTCGTAATCCTGAGCCCCCAGAGGAGAACCAAGGGAAGACAAGACTGCGAGCAGGTCGCAGATATCGCACACTGAAACGCTTGAGTGTGTCATCTGTAACCTTGGTAAGGCCAAACATTGTATCAGCCAGCTGAACCTCTTCCTGATCAGGCAGCTCCCAGAGAGGTACTGCTCGGTTCCAGATCCTCTGGACCTCCTTGCTGTCCTCAAATTCTGGAGCCTTACTAAGCAGAAGCCCCTCCTTGGCCCCATCCCCTCGCCCCTCCACGCTGGCCTGGAAGTCTTCCCAGCTCCCCTCTGCTAGGCTGGTCATGCAGAGAAAGCGGCCTGTGGTCTTGTCAATGAAGAGGCTGAAGGAAGTGGTAACACCAGTCTGGTCTTTGAGCTGCGAAGACTCTGCAAAGGGGCTCGGTGCCCGCAGGCAACTGTGGCCATCCTGGAAGGGGATCCCATGCCCCCGCAAATACTGGCGGATTTCGGTTGCAGTTACAGGCAACACTGGCATCTCCAAGGCTTGGAGAGTCTCCTTCCCGTACCTTCTGCGAGGAGGGCCTGGGGCCAAGTTTCGGGGCAGGCCCCTCCGACCCATCCACTCCCCACGCAGGGGTAGCAAGATACGGAGGGGGTACCCACCTCTGAGGCGGGCCAACATTCCTAGCCAAATGTAGGAAGTCACTACTTGAAATGCCTTAGGTGCCTGGTTAGCGTGCCTTCACTAGACCAGACTCTATGGATACCCCACGCAGCACTCTGCAGAGCTCACTCTAGGTGCCTTCTTTCTCTCCATGAATTTCTCCTCTTCAACCCCTCTACCCTGCTGCTTAACACATATGCCCATCTACACGACCCTTTCACGTCCACGTCCTTCTACAACGGCTCCCTCACTTCTATGGTCCGTTACAGTTTCTCTCCACCACCTCACCTCTATGACCCTCTACACAGTTCCTCACTGATACAGTTTCTCTGCATCATCTTCTCACCTCTACTGCCCCTCCACAGCATCTCCTCGTCGTCCTCATTTCTATAGCCACCTGCATCCTTTTTGTAGTCCCTTTGCCCTGGACCCCGACTAGAGACCCTCTTCCCTGCTCCTTCCCCTCACTGGGACCTCAACACAGCGAGAGCACCCAGCACGACTCCCGCCAATCCTCGGGCCCAAAGGAATGCCTGTTTCTATCCTCCCCCGTGTCTTCACTCTGCTCTACTACTCCGAGCTCCGCCGCGCCGGTCCCCGGCCCCGGGTTACCACTCTTTGTCTCTCCCACTTAGCCCGCAACGTGAGCCTCCAGCACACGCTGCTCGCCTTGACCTCGGAAGCAAAACTCCGGGAGCGGTCGTCCCGGAAGCGGAAGTCTCGAGGTTTAGTCCCGCCCCCCCTCGCCGCTTAGGTTCCGCGGCCTCCAAGCTGTAGCTATGACTGCGCGCGGGACTCCGAGCCGCTTCTTGGCCAGTGTTCTGCACAACGGACTGGGTCGCTACGTGCAGCAGCTACAGCGTCTGAGCTTCAGCGTCAGCCGCGACGGCGCCTCGTCTCGCGGCGCCAGGTGAGCCAAGGGAAGTGCGCGGGCGCGGGTCGGGGTGGGGGTGGCAACGACTCCCCGGGTAGGTCGCCCCCAGTCAGGGGTCATATTGCTCACTCTCCCGGGTCTTTTAGGGAGTTCGTGGAGCGGGAGGTGATCGACTTCGCCCGACGGAACCCAGGGGTCGTAATATATGTGAACTCGCGTCCGTGCTGCGTGCCCAGAGTAGTGGCCGAATACCGTGAGTGGGGCCGGGCTCCGGCTGGAGGGCGGGATCGGGGGCTCGGCCCGCTAGCCTCCCTCTCTCCTGGTCGCACCGGCCAGCTTCCGCCCACTCACACCCACTCTTACCCCTCTTCTGCTAGTTAACGGGTCTGTGCGCGAGGAGAGCATCCACTGCAAGTCGGTCGAGGAGATCTCGACGCTGGTGCAGAAGCTGGCCAACCAGTCGGGTTTGGACGTGATCCGCATCCGCAAGCCCTTCCACACCGACAACCCTAGCATCCAGGGCCAGTGGCACCCCTTCACCAACAAGCCGACCACTTTCCGCGAGCTATGCCCCCGAGAGGTCCAGGATCCTGCCCCAGCCCAGGTGCAAGCACAGTGAAGAGTTGCTCCACCAACTCCAACCCCAGGCTTTGGACTGTTTCTCCAGTAAAGGTGGTTCTTCCCCTTTGGGGTTCCAAGCCCAGGTAAATGGAACCCATCAATGGGCAAGTTGACAGAGGTTCTGCTTGGGATAAAGAAGAGCTGCCTGTTTCTTTCCAGTGCCTGCTTCTAGGGGCAGTGACCTTGTGAACCCCTAATTTTTATCAGTTAGCATTCCTAAAACCTGAGATGAGGAAGACTTAAAGGGTTTTACAGGGCCCTTGTTTTTTAAATCCAAATTGATAATGATCTCAAAACACAATGAGAGGTCTGAAGGCTGGCTTCTGAAGAATCCCTGATGTCTTATTGGTACAACCACTGAGCTGTGGAGAGCTCTGCTGTGATGGGCTAGGCACTTTATATCTGTGTGAATGTGTGTGTGTATAGATTTATAAAACTGAGGTTAATAAACTTATCCAAAGTCACATTTCAGGTCTGTCTTCAAAATGTGTGCATATGTTTAGCGCAAGCCTCAGTTTTCATTATTTTAAAACTAGACGCAGAACATATAACAACCATCAGGTGGTTAGTATTAAAGGCCAAGTGATTAATCTAGGCCTGACCCTTGAAAGGGAGAAGGGAGTTATTCCCTGGCTAACAAGCTTTCTGTGGTCTTAGCTATACATCTCCTTCCTCCCACGTTCCTCTTTGTGCAGAAATAAAATCCATGTCCCTTGAGCCAGCTGGTGGGGGGTGCTGAGAACCTTGGGGAAGGGCAGGAAGGCTGATTAATATTTTCCAGTCTTAGTTTAAAAAGGGGGGATGGTGGGCAAATGAGAGCCAGAAAATAAAAATCTAGAAATCCTCATAAGAATTCTTGAACCGTTGTCATTTTCTTGTCATGCCCTAACACCATGATCAATGAATAGTGTGAACCTTAATAAAGAGTCCTGCGTGCCTGCCAAGGAGTCTGGATGGAAGCAGAGGATCCCAGTTTCCTCTGCAAATAGTTGTATTAGGGAGCAGAGCCAACCCTGGAAGCAGACATCACTGCGGCACCTGTATAGGCTCAGGAGCCTGTCCCCTGGTGATCAGGGCTGGGCCCATCTAGATGAAGCAGACTACGCATAGCTGTGGGGAAAGAGGGTGTTTATTAACCAACGGCAGGGGGAGGAGCTGAGCCCAGGCTCCCCACTCTGTCACATGCCTGTTCCACCCACCTGGTGGTAAGTGGGGGCATTCCTAAAGAAGTATAGCCATTCTCACAATAAATACATTCATTGTGGGGTGGAGGTGGGAGAGTTTGGGTGGAGGGCAGTAAAAACTCGTGGGATTCCACGTTCTCAGCTACAAAAATAACAGTCATCCTCACCCGAGGGGAATGGGGGAGCTCAGTCAGAATTGATTGTCCCATATAGGCCTAGAGACTTCAGAGGTCCCTGGACCCTGAAAGTGCCCCGGTGAGGTAGGACAGGGGTAGGAGCTAAGCATCCAAACTCCCAGCCACTGCCCTTTGCATAGTTCCAAGAACGGGCTTCATATGCCAATTGAGACATCAGATTTCTCCTCCCTTTCCCTGCTGTAGTCTAGGGGAAGCGAATGCTTGGTTCCCCCAAAAGAGAGGCTGGCTCATTGAGTGCAGTGTTGGTCATCCATCCTAAGGAAGGGCCTGTGAGGACAGCTAAACGGGAGGGGGATCTCCCTCTGAAATGTCCACGGACCAAACCCAACAGACACAGGTCCAAGGCAGCAAGGGGAGGCTCAGAGGTGCATGTGAGTGGAAATGTAAGCACATGTGTGATACAGGTGTGTGTTGCCACATGTGCATGGGGATAGGACATGCCTGGAGCTCTGTCTCTGATACTCTTGAGAATGACCAAGGAGAGTGGGGAGGCTGATTCACAAGGGCCACACAGGAAGGGAGAGGAGGGGAGTGATGCAGTCTTTCCTCCCCAGGCTGGCCCATTCCCAAGCTCTTGACAAAGAGGTCACCACATGGGGCTGGGGAAGAGGACCAGATAGGATGTGGCATTTGGGAGGGTACCCCAAGTCCAGAAGCAGGGATGAAACAAGAATGCACCAGGAGAAGGTGAGGGTAGGGGCACTGCAGCCCAGCCGATAAACATTCTTCCACGTGTGCATGTGAATGTACGCAGGGCTTAGGTGGCTGGCAGAGGTCTTGTCTGGTTTCAGGACCATCCAGCACACAGGGCCATGCAGAGGGTGGTGACATTGAGCCCATATGGACCTGCAGAGCCCTGCCTGGGAGAAAGAGAAAGGGTTTGGGCAGATGAATGGAACAGGAGGATGGAGTCCTCGCCTCTTAAGTGTTTAGGTTAGGGGATAGGAACTGGCTCTGGGTCTGCAGGGCACCTGATCCTGAGGGAGCACCTACCTCTGAGGAGCACCGATGGGCCTGGGCTGCTCACATGTGGGTCTGTGGAGACTGAGGAGGGGGCTTTGGCTGGCCCTGACTGGCCAGCCCTACAGGGACGTCAAAAAGTTGGGAAAAGGGCATAGAGTGGGGGGAATGAAGGTAGGGTGGCTGTGTTAGGGAGGCAGTGGCCCAGCCTGGGACAGACAGGCTGGCTTGGAAGAGCATTTGTTCTGGGAGGCTGGGCTCAGACAGAGCTCTCATCTAGCTGCTCCACGAGCTGCGTGTGCTTCCTTTTCTCCAGGATGCGGCTGAGTTCCTCAGCGAAGGAGCAGGGCCCTGCTGGTACTCCATTGTTGCTCTGCCTCAGAAGCACATAGCTATTGCCATTCATCCTTCGCAGCCGGCTGGGCAGTGCCACCAGGCCATTGGTCAGCTCAGCCGGTGGCAGTGGGGGCGGTGGGGGTGGTGGGGCATGGACAGGAGGCTCCTCGGGATGGGGGTGTGGACACGCTGTCCCCGCCACAGGCCTCCTCCCATCTGCGGCACTGCCTGCTCACTGTGCCCCTCACCTCCATCCCGCAGATACTACTTCAAGAAAGTGAGCGACGAGTTTGACTGTGGGGTGGTGTTCGAGGAGGTTCGAGAGGATGAGGCTGTCCTGCCCGTCTTTGAGGAGAAGATCATTGGCAAAGTGGAGAAGGTGGACTGACCAGCTGGCGGGCTGACCGCTGCACCAGGCGAGGCCCTCGGTGGGCACAGGTGTCCCAGCCAGGCGGATGACCTCGTACTCAGGAGCCCGATAGAGAACAGCGTGGGGGCGCCGCCCACCCCTGCAGTCTCGCCGTGTCTGGGCGGGTAGGGGTCCCTCCGCGTGGTCCACAGGCTTCTGTCCTGCCCCCGAGGAGGCAGCCGGACACTCCCCATAGCAATACTTGGAGGGCCTAGCCCAAGTGGGGCAGCCAGGGTCCCTGCTGCCGGCTTCAAGCGACGCCCCGGCGCCTCCCCTGGGCACGTGTGCTGGGATCTGTTTTTCCCTCTGGGATTTGCCCACGTACCCTGGTCTGGCTGGGCGCAGCCCCAGGCCTGGGCGCAGAGGCCTGCAGGGCCTCTGTCAATTGTACTCGCCACCGAGTGCCTTCAACACAGCTTGTCTCTTGCCTGCCACTGTGTGAGCCGGCGACGGGGTACTGCACCTGCCTCCAGCTGCCGGCTGCGCGGTCCCGGGTCCTCCTTTCTGAGGGCCCATGTAAATATGTACATTTCTCAGGCCAGGGCCAGCAGGGGCTGCCCAGGTCTGTTTTTCATGCGATGACACTTGTACAATTATCTTTTCAAAGGTACTTGGATAATAATTAAATAAAACTGTTTTTGAACCTGCCCTGGCTGTGGTGTGTCTGCTGCCAGTGGGGCCTGGCCTGGGTCTCCCAGCCTCAGCGCCTGTGGTTAAGGTCATGCTGGCCTCCAGCAGGCATGGGGGTCGTCCTGTGACTCAGAGGCTGGCCAAGCTAGAGCATGAACGTGCTCCACCTTCCTTCCCAGGAGCCGGCGTCTGGGCAGAGCTGCATCAGGCCAGCCTTGCTGAGGGATCAGGCACACACAGTCCAGAACCAAGCTCTTTATTCACAATGCACAGCTCCCTCCAGCACCCAAGGAGGTGTCCTCCTGTCCAGCGGTGGAGGGGAGTGACACGGGGGTAGCTACAGCTCCTCCTTGGACCCCACGGTTGAGTTGGCCTGTGGCTCCTAGAACGGGTCACAAGTACAGCTCAGAGCTCTGCTCCCAGCCTACCCCTGCCCCCGCCTCGCCAGCCCTGTGTAAAGACAATCTGTGCAGAGGCCTGGAGCCCTGGCTTAAGGGACACCCACCGGGAACGGGGCTGCCGGCTCCTCCGTGGGCTCCTCCGTAGGCTCCTCCGTGGGCACCGCGCCCCCGTTGTCCAGGAACTTGGACAAGGTCTCCAGGTCCCTGGTGCTTTTATATTCAATCACCTGAGGAGAGGCAGGGGGCTCTGGAGGACATGCCAGGCCCAGCCCCATGCCCAGGAGGATGGCATCCCAGCTTCCCCAGGCACCTGTCCCCCATACCTTCCGACCTGGCCCTGCTGGGAAGTACTTGAGGGTAGGGAAGCTGTGCACGGCAAAGGCGTCCAGCTCGTTGGCCGTGGCATCCAGCTGAGCAATGATGATGTCCTCATGGTCTTGGTACTTCTCAGCTAGCGCCTCCCAGGCAGGGGCCATCTCCTTGCAATGGGTGCACCATGGGGCATCTAGGACAGGGGCCATTGAGCGCGGCCATCTGGGCACCCCGTGCCCAGCCCACACACCCCGTGCCTCCCTCAGCACTCACAGAACTTGACAAACACGTTCTTGGTTTCGTCAAAAGCCACCTGCTCAAAATTTTTGCCCACGAGGGTCTTCACTGGCCGCTGATCCCAGTCAGGGGGTACCTCCTGGCTCAGGAGATAGGGCTGGGGGAGACCAGGCCAGGCGCTTTGCTAGGGGTCCTCTGCAGGGCTCAGGGGGGAGGCCTTCTGTGGGGCTTGGGTGGGGGAGGCCTTCTGTGGGGCTTGGAGGGGAGGGAGGTCCTCTGCAGAGTTGGGAGGTCCTCTGCAGAGTTGGGGGCTCCTCTGCGGGGACTGCAGGGGTGGGGGCCTGAGAGCTGCTGTTCCCACCCCCTCCCAGGCTGGTAGATGAGGTCAGGGTTCCCCTCCCTCTATGAGCAGTCTGCAGCGGACCTTGACTTGGCCGTTGAGGACTGCGTGGCAGAAAGCAGTGACGGAAGCTGCGGTGACAGGGCCCCCGTCCACAGGCGCGTACTTTTTAGTGGTCTCAACGTTGATGAAGCGCAGAGTGGGGGCTGCCTCAGCCTTGAGGCCAAAGTACTGCAGCACGTGCTCATTGTCAGCCGCCACGTCCACCACCACAAACAGCACCTGTAGGCCAGGAGTCCACACTGGCACCGGCCACTGTCCAGCTGCCCCTTCCCTCGGACCCCAGTACCTACCCCCATCCAGCTGCCCCTCACCCCGGACCCCAGTACCTGCCCCCGGAAGTGGGGAGCTGCCTCCCCAAAGCCCGCTAGGAGCTCCCTGTGAGCAGCCAGGGTCTGGTTGACAAACAGCAGTAGGTGGTTGAGGATCCTGGCCGCGAAGATCTTGGGAGATGTCTACAGTAGGGAGGGTGCTCATGACTCCACAGGCCCCCCAGCCTAGGCACCCCCATCCCTGGACTCCTCCACCCTGGGACACCCCCAGCCCAGGCACTGCAGCCTACGTACCTGGCTGTTGAACTCCGTGACCAGGTGCATGCTGTGTGTGACCAGGAAGCGCGACAGATCCCCCAGGTCCAGGCCAAGCTCCTCATCCACTGGGAAGTCTGCCCGCCCCTCATCAAACTGGACAGCAGCAGATGGGTCAGTGGGTGCTGCAGCCGGACCCCAACCCACGCCTGGGCCTGACTTACCTTCTTGAAGAGAACCACGGTGTCCTTGGTGAGGCCGAACTGCTCAAAGAGCCGCGGCCGGTCCGTGAGGCCAAAGGTCATGTCCAGGGCGTCCCGGGCCAGGGCCAAGAAGGTGGCCACGTCCTCATCCTGCAGGTCCTGAAGGGCCCGGCCCTGTGAGGCCACCAGGTTCCACAGTCACTGCCCCCATGGCCCAGCTCCCCACACCCAGTGGCTCACCTGGAAGAAGCCGATGACCACCAGGTCCCGGCCATCGATCAGCGCCTGGGCGGCCGCCTCGTCCTCCAGCCGCTTGGCACTGGGCCCCACCCGCCGTCGCAGCCAC